AATAGTTACTTGGATTAAAAAAAATGCTTTCTTGCATTTTCTTTAGCAGTTATTGTAATAATGTCTTACCAGTTCAACAACACCAGTTCACAAAAACCTATATATTATCAGTTGTGTAAATGTAGCCTATTGGGTGTTCTGCAATGTCCATGGGGTATTCTGTTCAAAGAAAATTTACTGTGATTTGCATGACCGTGTATGTGATCCACTGCAGCTTCTTCCTGTGGAAAGAAGGAAAATGATCACTTTTTAAGATAAAAAAAAAAAACCCGTGAACCTGTAAATTTAACTTATTCAAAATGAAAAGCTCTTTTTAAAAGAATGGTTCTCGCTAAACAGTTTCATCCCAAAAAAGTGTTTACTTTTGTATTAAGAACCTAAAACTATTTGTCATTCAGGTGCTATGGAGTATGAAGTTGCTTAAAAGAAATAAGATAAATTACAGCGAGTTGAAAGTCGTTCTTAAAAACAAATTTTCATGAAGACTTAAGTTTTTAAAAGTACCTTTTATTCAATATTTTTCTTCTGATAAAAGTACTTACACTTGTGCAAGACATGGGAGCAAAGAAACTCCTTCATATAATCTGGTTTCAATCAGATCTGTACTGTGTACATTTCTGGGCTGCCTCCTACTATTGTTAAATAGCTGTGTGCATTTACAATCAAGTTATGGGCATACAGCGCCTGACCCTAATTTTTGGTACCCAAGGAAAATATATTTGTAAATGTATTTGTTGTTGGAATGGCATAATCACACACTAAAATAACAACGCTGCAGTTGTGAAGAGTTTTTTACCGTCATCAACTTTCTCGTTAAGGAAACTTTGTGTTCTTGTTCAGCTCTTTTGTTCAGAATTTATAATTCATGATTACTCTGACCATTGACATTGAACATCTGAGATGAGCAGCTATTTTTCTATTTCCTGACTTTCAACCACATGCCTCGCTTGAATGAAATGTTAATTTCTCTTTGTCATGTTGAGAAATATTCATCCATTACCCAGAAAGAATGGAAATTCTGAGTTATTTCCAAGACAATCTGATGAACTTAAAAAGCAAATAAACAACAACAAAAAACGTAACAAATGTGCCAGTGAAGGTAAAGCTCATACCAAAACTGAGAATGTGTCATTTAAAAGACCACAATCAAAATATGTTGGCACAATGTCTGTCATGATTGGGTTCTGTTGTGAGCAATAAGATTTAAAAAAAAAAAAAAAAGATTTATTAGTTATTTGAGATCTTCTAGTCTTGGTTTCAATTTTTAATCTATTAAATACAGTAAAGCCAATTTTTAAAGATTAATTTTGTCAAAATATAGATGCATTTGAGCCTGTGGGGGGTTATAATATTACATATAAGTAATGTATTAAGAAAACAGAGTACTGGAAGAACTGCTTTTATTTAAATGATACCAAGTTTGAAATACAGTGTGCTCAACTAAAATTTTGATGTTTTAACTTTGTTTTTTTTTTTGTTTTTTTATTTCCTACAGGGGGACTCAAACCCATCAGTCTCTTTATTAGACATCTACAAATCATGGTTAAAGTGAGCCTTTTTTTTTTTTATCAAATTAACAGAACGACTATCTCTAGGGATTTTTCCCTGCTTTGACATGAACTCAAACTGTTGTTTTTACTCCTGACAGGGATTCAAAAAAGAAAAGGCGTCGGAAATCAGAAAAATGCTCGAAATCAGGAGAAGGAAAGACTCCCTCTAAAGGTGCAGCTTTTATTTTTCTCTCTTACTGGCATTCATATTTTGGAAATTAATGTGGCTCCTTTTGAACGTATTTTGTCTGCTTGTCGTTTTAAGCCAAGGCTGCCTCACCAAGGAAGAAGACGGATAAACCAGCTAAAATCCCAGCTTCACCAAAGAAGGTAAACCTTTCATCTCCTCCTGTGTCACCTCTTCAATATTTTCAATCAATATTTATTTTATTTTTTTAGTCTGTTCCAGCAAAAAGAAAAAAAAGCGACGAAAAGCCAAGTCAAAGTGTTAAAGCAAAGAAATCTAAGCCTAACCCAACGGAGAAAGCCGCCAGTGACGGATCAGACTCTGACAGCAGTCTGGACATAGAGAAGTGGAAGAAAGTACTGGACCAGTTGACAGGTGGGAGAGTGTTTGTGAAGTTTAGTACGTTTTGGCTATGCCAATATTCTTGCTGTGCGCTGTGCAAAAGTATTCCTACCTGGTAAAATGTTTTACACTTTGTCACGTCACATCCACAAACTTCATTTTAACCAATTTGTGAAATGGGAGGAATAAAATTGTTTACAAGTAAGAATCTGAAAAGTGTGGCATGCATTTATGGTCAGCCTTCCTGAGTCAATACATTGTAGAAGTACAACTTGTGGTGATTACAACTGTAGATTTCATTTGGGTGCGTTACTACCAGCTTTGAGCATCTGGAAATGAGTTTATCAGATTGTTTTCTGCAAAATAACTCAACTGCAGTCAGATTGGACGCGGAGCATAGGTGTGGACTTTGCCTGAGCCGTTTGAAGACATGATTGCGTGCGTGACTCAATCTTGGGTCATAAAATGTCAAAAAAATATATTAAAGTTTGTAGTTGTAACACAACAAAATCTGAAAAAGTAAATTCAACTCCCGCTTGGTGTTTGAATCATTCAGCCAAATTTCTGTTTGCTGTGTCTCTGCAGAGGCCGACATTGCCAAGATGGAGACCATCAACGCTCTGACCTCTGAATCGCAACCCAAGAAAAAGAGAGCCAGAAAGCCGCAAGCCAAACCTCTGTCCAAAGCCGACGCTCCCGTCCAGCAGAATGGTGAGACAACTGGACAGGATGAACAGGGCAATGAGAAAGTTGAGACACAAACGCCGACAAAGAAGAACGCAGCAAAAAGGAGCAAGAAAGAAAATCCAGAGCCGGTGTCCTCCCCGAGCAAGCGGAGTCCAAATAAAAGAGTAAAAAGTGAAGAGGACAAGCAGGTTTCATCCGAACTTCCTGAGAAAGATGAAAAACAAACACAATTACAAGAAACATCGGTCCCTGTGAATGCCAAAGATGAAATGGCACATGAAACCAAGAAAAAGAAGAAGAAGAAAAAGAAAGAAAAGGAGGAAAATGGAGACCGGACAGAGAGGAGTGAAAATGAGACAAATAGTGATGGAAAAGACAGGACACAAAAGAAGAGGAGTGAAATCACCGAGCAGGAGGATGCTGGTAAGACAGAGGGAGCAAGGAGAACGACTAAAGAAGGACAGATGGAAGAGAGAGGCAGTGACAGTGAGAACATTTCTGAGTTAAGCTTACAGAAAAAGAAAGCAAAAAAGAGGGAAAAAGACAAATCCAGCAGCGAGGAAGGTTTAGCTCAAATAGACACGAAAATGATGGTTGTTGGTGAAGAAAATTCCAAACAACCAGATAAAAAAACAAAACCAAAGAAAAAGAAAGAAAATAACAATATGGGGGGTAATTTAGAACATATAAGTGTGGAGGAGGAAGAAAGCGGTGAGCAAAACATTGAAGAAATAGAGAATGCTAAGGAAATGGTAACAAACGAGAAAACCAGCAGTGAGGAATATTCGGCTGAAATGCATAAAAAGAAAGAAAAGAAGAAGAAGAAAAAGGTGCTTTACAATGAAGGGAGTTCAGAACTGGTAGAAGATTTGAAAGCAAATCCAGAGCAAATCATAACGAGTACAGATGAAGCTGGAGGCGACAAGAAAGGCGAGCAAAACGATCAGGGAAAGAAAGCAAAGAAAAGGAAAGACAAAAGCCTTGTGGAGGAAAATTTAGAGCATGAAACTGTGGCAGTAGAAGAACATGTTGAAGACGAATACAACTCAGAGCAAATGAGTGGGAAAAAGAAATCAAAGAAGAAGAAAAGAGAGTCTCTTGGCTGCAAAGAATTCCCAGAGGAAGTAGCTCAAGAAAAAAAAGCGAAAAAGAAGAATGAGAAGTCTGATGAAAATGATTCAGTCGAAGAAGAGAAGCCAAAAGACGACGATGATCATACGAACAATAAATCTACATTGGAGACAGACGAGGGGAGTCTGGAAATCACAAGTCCTCTGAAAAGAAAGAAAAGTGAGTCACGAGCAGAATGCGATTATGGCAGTGCGCAGTTTCAGTTTGTTTACCTTCATCTTCATTTTCTTTCAGAGAAAAACAAATTAAAATCAGACGAGGCTCCAGAGGAAGCTGAAATTTCTACGCAAAATGCCTCCACAACACAATCTAACTCAGCTGACGTCCACAAAAAGGTACTAAAAACACTCGAGATTAGCAGATTAATGAACTCTAAAATGGTCCGTTTCTTTACTGTTCAATCATACATGTACAGTAACTGTAACTAACCCCTGATGTTAATCTTCCACAGAAAAAGAAAAACAAGAGGACAGAGTTGTGAGAAGAATCGACTCCTTAACCCAGTCGAGGCTCAGAGTGAAGCTACGCATCATTTCTAACCAGAACTACATGGGTTAAAAAGTCAGCATAAAAAAACTTGTAAATAAAATGGACATTTTAATTTTGGTACCATTTGTACTTTTTACCACGTGAAGGTGTGTTTTTACTACATGTCATGTTTTGTGTCCGATCTTTCACCTGGGAGACTTCTACATTAAATTTCTGATCAGAGTTAACTTCATATGTTAGTTCAAGGACTGCAATTTAAAAAAAAAGTGCCCCTGTACATTTTTGCTCATCTGTTGATATTTATTCACTCCTCCGCCACTAGGATTTTGTGGCCAAGAAAACATCTCTCAACTATTTTTTTACCATGTTTGTATTCATAAAAATTTTAACTGTTTAGTGTTTAGGGTATTTTTGAAAACTTTATCTTAAAAGACTATTTTGTTGCAGGTTTTGGTGTACGTTGCACATAAATGTTTTAATACAAAATAAATATAGTTTTGTATTAGACTGTACTCATCTTCCTTCTGGTGTCCCATGTAGAACATGCACATGGTAAATAGTTTTAACATTTATTTTTCTACAGTATATGTGGAAATTATTCTGTATTTGGTTCTGGTATGTCAAGAATATTGTATAAATTTGTGACTGTGTGCTTGTTCCTCTGCCAAAGGCCCTGGGAACTGAAAATATGTCATCGGATTTTTAGCCACAAAATGATCATGCTTTCTCAAATCACATGTTCCCCTTGTGTGTTAAAAGATTACTTTTATACAATAAAAATTACTCTTTTACATAAGATTGGTCTTTTTCCCCTTTTTTTTTATTTGCCATTGGTGTCAACAAATGTATCTACTTGTCGCTGTAGCAGCTAAAAAAAATTTTTAAAAATTCAAGCGTTGCATTATGTGCGTCCGCTAGGCGGCGATGCAGCCCGTAAAGGGAGGTGAAACGACAGCAGCAAGCAAGAGTCCCGGATGTCATGACTGCCATGGTTACAGTTCCTGGTTACACCGATATGAACTGAACATCTGACGGAAAGTTTGTTTTTGTAGTTTTATAGTAAACTGCGTTTTGCTGCCTCTGAAATGTGGAGATTAAACAAAGTTCGCCACAAAGCTGGTGGGCATGCTAACAGCCTGGAGGAGCTCAGGACGAAGAGGAGAGAAAAAGAAAGAGGTAAGACTTTTGGTAGTGGGTAACCCAGCTGTCAGTGGGTGTACGGAAAACTCAGTATACCCAAACTTATTTAGTTTGATTTAAGAAGGAAAGCCACTACACCTAACAAACTGACCGTCTGCAGGTTTAGCCACCTTATTAATGGAGATGTTTGGAAAGTTTGCTGATCTCCGGAGGCTATAAAATGCCAGGAAGGAAATTCATCAGAAGCATTAAAGATGACTCGTGTTATCATAATTATGTCATTAACACAAATGCGTTTCTACAGTTCTTCATAAAAGACAACACCCCTTTAACATGGTGTTTCCATGCATCTTCAGTCTTGTGTATCTCACTGTTTTGTTTTTATTGACGACTGTTGCGTCAATAAAAACAAAAGCGATGTGCTCCCTTCTTGTGTGGTACTTAATAACTAAAGATTGATTGACCTGAGGAGGGTTTGAAGCAATTTTCAAACGAGTCCATAATTCCACAGTGGGAAAAGTTGCTTACAAGTAGCAACATTTGAACAATTGCTAATTTTGCCACTCCAAGTAAACAACATCCCACCAATATCAAAGCAATGTTGAGAAATGACAAAAAGCCTAAGAGTTCAATTTCAGGCTCTGTATGGCTTAGTTATCTCTTGCACCTTGCAATAGTCGAAGTTACTATGATACTGTGAAAGATAAATATTGTCACAAACTGGCCACTACACTGGACAAAAATCCTAAACGCAGCAGCAAAGGTACAAGATAAGTGCTGAACAGAAAATAATGAAGGTGTTGCAGTGGCTTAGTCAAAGTCCGAACATGAACTTTATTAAAAATGTTGTGAAGCTAAATGTTTTTTAGCTTTTGTTTTAATTCATGTAAAATGTGGTACGAATCTGAAAACTGATAGGCTACTCCCAAATAATTGAGTTTTAAAGCATTGTGGGGGTCTTATTGTCCTTTCTGCTTCAGCACTGAGGCAAGCCCGCAGAGACAGACAGCTTGTGAGCAAGAGGCTCCTTCTTAATGAAGATGAAGAACAGGACACCATGGAGGTTGCACCTGGGGAACAGGTAAGTTTCATTAGCTCTGATTGATAATTTGCCCCTAGTTTGACAATATAAGGATATACAGATTTTCGTTCTCCCCAGGATGTGGTCACCTTGTTCCAAATACTTCAGCATGGCGGCACGGAAAAAGAGGCCTTCTTAAGACCCTTGAGTAAAGCTCTGCGTGACCCATCAGCTCAACTCACCTTCATCAAGTATGTTTTTAACATCCATCACCATAAAAAGTGAATTCAGTCAATTTCACCTCTGATAAACTGTGTGTGTGTGTGTGTGTGTGTGTGTGTGTGTGTGTGCGTGTGTGTGTGTGTGTGTGTGTGTGTGTGTGTGTGTGTGTGTGTGTGTGTGTGTGTGTGTGTGTGTGTGTGTGTGTGTGGACGTGTCCCATCAGGCTGGAGAACAGCATGCACCTGCTGGTCGGCCTCCTCACCGGCTCTGACGCTCGCTGCCGTCTGCAGGCTGTTCGCTGTCTTCATGAGCTCTCTCACTCCCCCCACACCAGCGTCGCGTCCGCCTGTCTGCCCGCTACTCCCTATCTGCTCACATACCTGTCAGGCCAGAGCACCAAGTTCACAGTGGGTCTTCGTCCATCTCACATGTTCCTTGTTAGTAGCATCATGTTATTAAAGAGACAGTGTCTAGAGTTTCTGCACGATTCTGTCTGCACAGGAGCTGTGTCTGTACACACTGGGGAATATATGCCCGGACAGCGAGAGGGTAAAAGAGAGGCTTCTGGCCCAGGGAGTCATCCCAGCACTGGCCGGCTGCATACAGGTGAGCTACAAATAGTGATGGAAAAGTAACTGGATCTGGAGTAATTTCTGTTTATATATTTGTGCAAAAACCTTTAAGAGCATCAAACCACATTTGGGGAAAAAAAACAAAAAAACAATATGAAAAAACCTGTTTGTGTTTGAACCAGAAATGACGTGCAAAAAAATCTCAAAAGAGCTTTACAAATACATTATTTTGAAATTGATAGATATTGCTTTGTATCAACAATTATTCAGTTGTTCGTTAGATTTTGCATCAGTGAAATAATTAGAGAGTTTGGAAAAGTCTGGAACTTGCTTTTATCATTTAATTTTCCAAGTCTGGGTAAGTGAGGCAAAATGTACTTTCCTTAAAAATTTGCTTAAAGAAGAAAATTCTTCCTGGGATGACATACTTGAGTTATATCCATTATTTTTTTTCTTTACATATTGTTTTTTCTGTAAATTATCCTTCATTCATTTTTCTTCTTAGTTGTATGATTTGCAAATTAATTTAAAAACAGTATTTTTTTATCTAATAAAGAAGAAAATAAGTTTTCAAAACCCTCTAAAAGTAATAATAATAATGTGGGGTTTTTTCAAACAGATTTCAAGTGTAAAAAAAAATGCAGTTTGAGCTTTAAAGAATAAGCATTTAGAGTTTGGTAATTTAGTCTAGACAAACAGAAGTGTTATATACACTGCTCAAAAAAATAAAGGGAACACTCAAATAACACATCCTAGATTTGAATGAATGAAATATTCTCATTGAATACTTTGTTCTGTACAAAGTTGAATGTGCTGACAACAAAATCACACAAAAATCATCAATGGAAATCAAATTTATTAACCAATGGAGGCCTGGATTTGGAGCCACACACAAAATTAAAGTGAAATGTTCCCTTTATTTTTTTGAGCAGTATATATTTTTAATGTTGCCATAAATAAACCAGTTTTCTTTGCCAAACTGATGAATTACGCTATTTCAAATTTGATAGAGAAATGTTTAAATATTTAAAGGCCTGTAAAATCTCTGAAATTCAAATTGTGGAAAAAGCCACACGTGAAATTTCGAGATGGAAAATGTGTAAATTAAAAAAAAGTCTGTTTTCATTTGACATTTCAGAACCACAGACATAACCTGGCAGTGGTGGAAGCTGCAGGCTTCGCCCTCTTTCAGCTTCTGCAGAGCAAAGACGCAGCGCAGAAAGTTATCCCGTCAGTACGCTCAAGGCATCACTTTCCTCTTGGAAAATTACAAGTTCTGAACAACATTACTCTTTAACACATCTGTTAGAGCTGATTAGTTTTACTGTGTGCATGCAGGACAGTCCTGGCCTCCAGCTTACCTTCACAGCTGCTATCAGTTCTGACCCCTGACCCTGATTTTGGTCTGGCTCCAGCTATCGAGTGTGCATGGTGTCTGCACTCCCTCACATCCAGGTGAAAGCTTTGATATTCAGACACTGTTTTTTTTGTTTGTGTTTTTATCTTTGCACATTTGTTTTTACTTGTGGTAATATTTGTTTTCTGTCTTTTCTCAAACTTGCATTTAGCAGCTCTGAGGATCACAGAGAGCTTTTGGCGCAAGGGGCCTTGAGGCAGTGCTGTTCCTTGTTAGTGTCGCTAGGTGGTGCTGTGGCTGACGGAAACACTGACCAAGGCTTGGAGCTGGTGTGTAAATTCTTACTTTTAGGCTTTTATGCTGTCACTTGTCACTTTATACTGGATCCTTTTCATGTTAATTTTTTCCTTTTGTCCTATTGTACTATAATTTTTTTTTATATTTGAAATCTTTCTCAAGACAAACTGGACATCACTGTTAGTTTAATTGAAAAAGTGCATCATATTCTTTCTTGCATGTCAGTTAAGAAACAGATTTAAAGTAGCCTTTTTGGTAATTGGTGAACTTTTGTTTTTATTTCTAATACTCAAATGTATCCAAGTTTGTCCTGTTATAACTGATGAGTCAAAAATATCCTTTGTAGCTTGTGTGTCCCCTGCTGAGGTGCGTTGGAAACCTCCTGTCGTCCTGCCCTGCTGAAGCTCTCCACTCTCAGCTGGGTGGTGTTGATCTGGTGGCGCCGCTGTGTGAACTTGTTGTTGCCCTCCTCCACACTCTGCCAGCCCTTGCCAAAGAGACAGCCTGGGTCCTCAACAACCTCACAGGTATGAGCCGTCTCCGAGCTCTCTCAGATAAAGTTGTGGAGAACTTTAAAGCATGGGTTGGCTATTTAACTTTTTTTCTAAGCTTTTATCATCTCTGGGAGCATTGTTTATTTAATCGTCTCCAAAAATGGAAGGAGAATAGCCCAACTGTGATCCTTTCAAGACATGGTCATCCTCGTAAAATGAGAACGTTAGAGAGGCAGTCAGATGTGTAAAGGAGCTGCCGAGCGCCACAGATCACGTGGGAGAGTCTGTTGACATGACAACTATTAATTGTGCACACCACAAATCTGGCCTTTACGAGAGTGTGGAAAGAAGAAGAAATCTGTTATTTAAAAAGCCACAGAGTTCAGTATTCAGTTTGACACAAAAAATAACACTAACCCCTTGTATCATCCTGAATGTACCATCCCCAATGTAGGAACATGAGGGTGTCGACATCATGCGGTGAGGAAATTTTCATCACGAGGGACAGGAGTCATGGTCGAGGTCCACAGCTGTCCTTAAAAGTGATTAGATATATTATTTGCGATATAACTTACTAAGCTTTGCACAAAAGCAACTTTTTGCAATTGCATTATTTTACACAAAATTATTTATTCTTATCATGCATGCCACACTTTACAGATTTTTAATTGTATAAACAAAAAGGAAAAAAGATATGCATCTGTCATTGTGATGTTTTGTTCCTTAGTTATTTAGTTAAAATCTATATGAAATACATTGGAACTTGAGGTTGTAATGTGACAAAATGTGTAAAGCCTTTGCGAGAACAGTAGACTAAGCAAAAAAAACGACATATTTCCTAAGATCTAAGCAGCCGGAAATATCCAGGCGGCGGCGGTTGTTGTGAAATAGAAGAAATGTGTCCTATCATCCTTTACACATCTGAATGTATTTAATCACTTGCAATGTTGCTAACAGTTTATCAAGAAATTACTAGAAATGTTTGGAATAAATCAGAAGCATCAAATCCTTTAGTTGCTGGTCGATTTTAATCTGTGTGTTTCTCGCCTCTCTGTTCCAGCCCACTCCACAGAATCTTGTTCTGCTCTCTTAACTTTAAACTTGGTGCCGAGACTGTTGGAGCTTCTTCCTTTTTCTCAAGGCATTAATACTATGGTCAGCAAAAACTAAAGCCTTCAGCTGATATTTATTTTACCTTCTCCTTCTTGTCCAACACATAACAGACGTTGTTTGTGTTACATTTAGGTTCTAAGGGTTTTAGCAAACGTTGCCCATAAGAAAAAGGAGTTCTGCGTCCGGCTGGCGGAGCTTGGACTGCTGTCTGCCCTCACTGCTACTCTAAAAATGGCCGACCAAAACGTGGTGACTCTGAGTCTGGAGGTCCTGTTCATGATAATCGTTAGCTGTCCGCAGGTATGCAGGGCCTAATAAAATGCCAAAACATTTCGCTTTTGCTAAGCTGCTGTAACAGTGTTTGGCTTTGTTAAATGAGCCTGTTATTACCTCCAGATAGCAGAGCAGTTTGTCAGCCACGGTGGGCTTTCAGTTCTAGAAGCCATTCAGTACAACAGCGATGGAGAGGTGAGGCGAAGGGCAACATACCTCCTGGAGCAGCACATACTCACCGAAAAATAGTATGAAATAACCTTTATTTACTTTGACTTGCTTGTGTTTGTTGGGGTTACATCATAACAATATAAGCTTTTTGTGTTGTAGGTGGAAAACGTTACTGGTTCAACCCGACCCAATCCCAGGACAACTGAAAGAAAAGGAAGGATGTTGAGTGATTTGTCTTAACAAGTTGTCTTGTTTTATATTCTACAGCCTCTACAATGTTATCAAATGGTTACACTTACTTTTTAAGTGTAGATTTTTAATATTTATGTGTTTTTTTTCTAAATAATGAATTGTACACGTTTATTTTTTTGCTCTGCACAATTTGTCAAATCCATGAAGATTTGACAAAATCTGATACGTAGTTTATGAAATTAGCTTTTTCTACAATGTGTTTCTGTGCTGGTACAGCATACTCGGTGTAATGTATCTACATCCCCAGTTAGCAATGTACTAATGAATACATTTTCATATAATAAAGGTAATATATTTAAGTAAATTGTAATAAAAGAGAAACTAAACTTATTCTATAGATTTATTGCTCCCAAACTGATATGATTTTATAATTTATATCTGTTCATTTTTGTTAACTGCGACTTACAGCTTTTGAAAACCCCAAATCCGGTTTCTCAAGATGTTACACAAGACCAACAATTTTTAATATAGATATGTTTTGTGATGGTGATATCACTGTCTCCATGCTCATGGAGGAAAATGGCTGCTTGGACACTGTGGGCAGTCACTGACTCCCTCCACCAGGCAGCCAAGCCACAAAAGTGCATTATTGAAGAAAATTGAGTAGAAGGTAAAAGTGTGGTAGAAAGACGTGAGCAGACAACAGAGCTATAAAGAGCTTTGAGACGGTTTAATAAGCAAATAACTTGGAGGGAAATTCACACGGTGCATACGACACAAATCAGATCTTTAAGCGCCACCACACAGATGTCCAAGACGTCAGATACAACAGCACTGTTCCTTCTGTTTCGCCACTCCGGATTACAAAATGACATGAGCTGGCCAAAGGAGAAAAGGGATTGAACTGTTGAGTGACCTCAAGAAATTCCTGGAAAGCATTTTAATTGGCTCCCATTTTAAGTGATTTGTGAAAGGAGAAACTGCAAAAACTGAGGTTTAAGCACGTCATTAAGGACTTTTAAATTAGTTTCATGTGCATATCGATCTTTAATCTGACTGCAGTTTTATTTCATTTCGTAAAACCTTTGGTGTCAGCAAAATAAAAAAAATGACATTTTCAGGCAAAAAAACAAATGATTTACATAGAGCAATAGTTTTCTCATGAGTAACGACTCCCTTTAGAGTTTCATAGTTTTAGTCTGTTAGCCCTTAGAGGAAAATACGTCAGAATTTCACTATTCCTCTTTTTATTCACAAGAGTTCCTTCTTGCAGTTTCACAAAAGAAAACTCTGTGTTACTGTCTGCATTGCTCTGATCTATAAGATAGTTTACGATCCTTTCCAGTAGCAGAAACCAGATATTAACATAAACTGTATAAAAATAAATGTAACTTTTTTCTCACTGTCTGACAGTGAGAAAAAAAACAGAATTATTTATATTTTCTAAATACCAGAAGGATGAGTAAGAGTAAGAAAACTGTGTATAAAGGCAATTTCTACATAAATCTGTAGGGCCCTTTAATTTCGTGTAGTGTGCATCAGATACCAATTTCAGAGCAATAAACCATGTACAATGTATCCATGTTTTCATGGAGAGCTCAAAAACATCGACTTCACATGTGAGTTATCTACAAAAACTAATTTGGGCTCAACTAAAATAATACCTTTGGGTTTTTGTTTGCCACTCGGGTAGTAAGCCATGTTATCCACATTAAAAATGACGCATGTTTACTGGATAAAAGCGTTAACAAGCTACGGTATAGTCAGAATATGTTACTTTTTTTTTGCCAACAGATAAACTTACAGTTAGTAATTTATTTGTTAGAGTAACTTGTGTTTTCCCTTTCATTCTTTCTTGATTTTATTTTGCAATCGTTTCTTTCTCTCCATTCAACCAAGCAGAATTTTTTTTTCTTTTGGTGTACATATGTTTTTCTTCACACCTAAAAAAAAAACCAACTATCTGTTTGACAGCTTCGGTCTTGAATTAATATTTTAGTCACAAAATTAAGATACCATAGATTATCTGGCAATCACCATACTTTAATGTAACAAACATGTTGTTTTTAATCTCTCACGAAATAAAGTTTTTGTTTTATTTGTTTAAACCATGAAAAATATAAAGAAATTAAACTTAATTTATTTATTTATTGGGTTGTAGTTTTGATTGTTGTGGTCTTACATACTGTTCAGGCTTAGCAGTGAACGGCACGAAGCCCCTCCTCTTGTTGGGGAAAAAAAAAAAAAAGGAGAAATCAAATTTCTTGATTTCCTCTGGTGCTCAACAACAACATCCCCTTCCTGTCGTCTTACACACCACATCTTATATTGACCTCTTGGTGAGTTACTTCGTGTTTTGTATCACAATTAATGCATTCTTTCTGGCTGTTTATTACTGTTCTGTGCGCAGTAGGTGTCGTATTTCGTTTTCCTGCCTTTTACAGTACTTCCATGCTGGACGAGTATGTTACAAGACCGGTACAACAAATCCTTGCTCTCTTTCCGCTACAGTACGACGCAGTTGTGTAACAGCTTGGCAATGGAGGAGGAAACCGAGTCAACTGTGATGGAGAGACCAACAGGAGAAAATGAGAATCAGAAGATAGATGAGAGCCTGTTGTTGTCCAGCAAACCTCTGCACCGTTTTGTCCGAAAACAACCCAGAAGCTTTGGGGTAAATTCATCTCGTCGTGAAGAAACAGGGAGTGGGTGTAAATTCATGTACAACTGTGCACACTGACTGAATATTTGTTTTGGATTTTTTTTTTCAGATTGTGATTCTGATGTTTGGTTGCGCCGAGGTTGTGATGGGATTTGTGATGGTTGGCAATGACTGGGATACCTCACTCAGAATATATATTCCCTTCTGGCAAGGAACTCTGGTGTGTATGTTTTTAAATGCTAAAACTCAAGAGCAAACCTTGTTTATACAACTTATATATACAACTATATATATATATATATATACACACATTTAATTTCTGACCTCATATATTGAGCAATTAACATTGCTTCTTCTATTTTGTGCATTTTTCATATAATACAAAACGAGGGGAAAATGTTTTTATTTTGGCAGCAAAAGTGTAACATATCAAATATGATACAACAAAGTCTGCAGTTGTTTTGAAATAGTTTATTTGTTTTGCTTGAAGCATTTAATAAAAAGTTCATTCTTTTTTTTTTTTTTTTATCTGAATTTTAATTAAAAAAAATGTGTGTGTCATGCTCAAACAGGTTTGAGCACTGTTTACATTCTTTGTCTTAAATATGAAGTCCACAGGGTTGCCCCTTTTGGAGTGGAGCTTGGAGTGAAATAAGAAATAGGAAATAAGAGAAAAAGTGGTCATTTATTGGTCTGTGTTATTTTGATACAGAAATCAAAGCAAAAATTGTGCAGCTTATTTTTAAGCTAAACAATTTTGCTTTACATTTTTTATTGAAATATCTCATTAAATTCTGATGTACAAATTTAAGCCATAACATTGTGACATGCAAAAAAAATGGCATCAGATTTCTGAATTGGACATTTAAGGTGGCTTAAACCTTCACATATATGCATGCAAGCTTTTCATAAATGTTGTTGTAAGACAATTATTTGTCTAGAAACACTACTTAATATTCAGTGTCTTCAACATTTGGTACATTTGTACTTTTAGTCGCTTTGTATTCAAATACCATTTGATAGAATTAATAGAATACAATAGAAAATAGAAACAGCCTTTATTGTCCAGCAAAGGGGAAATTCAGGTGTAACAGCAGCATCAGGTACAAAGGTTCCCAAAAGAAGTTCTTAAAGTGTTAAAAACAGTATATATATAAAACAAGATTAATTATAACAACAATAATTTTATTAATAATAATGATTCTAATTAGAACAGAAAATACTGTGCAGTTATTAGAAATAAAAGAGTTGGACATGAGATCCAAATCACATGACTATAATGAGCTTAGACAAATAGATTTATTTATTTATTTATTTATTTTTAAAACATAGTTTATAACAATAAATTAATTGTTATATTTCTTTTTAAAATGTTTTTATTTATTTATTTATTTATTTATTTATTTATTTATTTTAAGGATTTATGGCAACTTTTTATCCAGCAGATGGCGCCCTTGACAAATAAACAGACACGTTACGCTCTAATATTGAATTTTTGTTCTTTCGTGATTGTTTCTCCCATGATGCGATACAAGAACATCAGTAGACTTTGCAGAATCATTCAAAACTACCTCATTGTTGTCGCAAACTTTAAAAAAAACACAAAAGAAAACTAAAAAAACAAAAAACAACCTCATTCTCCAGCTAAAGTATACATGCACAGCACAGCTGCTGCATGACCCAGCTACTTCAGGAAACAATAGGTGCAACTCCCCTGTTCAGTGCAAAAGCAGCTATCATTGCATGATATGCCTATGGATGGAACTGGATAAGTAATTCTGTAGCAGAAAATGATTGGATCTTTTGATTGATGTGGATGTTTGTATTTGAAGTTCATTACATGTGGAGTCCTATCTATCTACACTGAGTTACATCCATCCAAGAAGATGGTAAGCCTGTTGATTTTTTTTATATATATACATATATATATATATATAAAATCCCTGGTTTTAAGATTTAAATACACTTTTGCCCAACTTTATTACTGACCATACAATCTTTCGTAATTAAACTCAGTTGTCTTTGTAATCTGACTACACAGGTGACCTCATGCCTGGCCCTGTATGTGGTCTCTCTGTTGGGCATTATTGTCACCATATCACAAAGGATACCCTTAATCGTTTCCTACACGTGGCGTATTTGGCATTACGGCAACCATCTGGTGAGCTTCATGTTTACTCTCTTCCTCCTTTGTCTTTGCTATAATGTTTGAGTGAATAAAACCCCGATTTAATATTTTACAGCTATGTTTTTTTAACCGCAGGTGGCATTTATTTCGGTGGAAGGAATCTTGCTTGGATCTTCTCTGCTTGTATCAGCATTTCTTATCTTCTTGAGCGCCCTCGCAGGTTACGCGTTAAGATCTACGAGAAGTCAGGTAATATGTTCTTCGGTGTTGTGCCATTTAAAAAATGAAAAGCTAAAATTCATGTTCTACCTTTCAATGCTGAGCCTCTGCAGAGTAACTAATAATGAGTGGAGTATAATATTTCAAAAAGATGATAACCTTTTGGAAACTGAAAATTAGTCATAGTGGTCGCTTGCACAAGATGCCAACATTTTGAAGCAACCATGGCCAGAGTTCAGATTTAAACTGAGAGTAAATATAAAAGGAGAGTATTTGACTCCAATCAAAGTTTAAATAAAAAGCTTTAACGTGACAAAAGTCTCCAGTTACCCTTATATCATCTCAAAACCACTAAAATGATACAGAATTTTATCTGATGCACTCATTAGTGGAAGGAAATACTTTGTGTCCACTGAAAATGTTTTCACTGTAGCTTGATTTAAAGCACAAGATGATTAATTACATCACACTATGAGTTACTAGTCAGTATTGTGATTATGTGATTCCATTTTTAATTATCTACTTTGAGTTGCTGCTGAACTCAAAGTTAAGTTTACATTTCTAATCAATTTAGGCTTTAATTATTTAAACTGTTAATCCAATCCAGTCAAATTTTATAGTGTTTAAAATGCATACCGTTATTTTTTGGCACAGAAAATGTACATCTTCTTATCTAAAGACACAACCTTTTATTTATGTTACTTGTTCTTGGTTTGTGAAAATACATTTTAATGCAATGGCTTTATTTGCCTGTGCAATTATGTAATGTAAATTGCATCCTGTGCGACTTAATATGAAAAAGTCATACATCTTTTTTTTTAATCAGTGAACAATCTGCATCTCAATAATTAATCAATTCACAAATAAGAAACAGTGTGCATTTTGCAAGAGATTGATTTTTATTTTTACAGTGGCATCTTATAGAATATTGTATTTCACAAACTTCATTTTCTATAATAAACTCTAAAGCGATGTTTAAATCTATCAAAGGTCTAAATTTCTTTGAGTCCACAGTCTATATTTTGGAAAATTATATATTTTTTTATCTCGACTAACAGGGAAATAAAATGTATTTTTATTACGTACACAATGAGGCAAACAGTTTGTCAAAAAATCAAATTGAACTGACATTTGACTATAGCAAATAAATGAAAGATAGAAGAAACTTAACATAATTGTGATAAGAAAACATAGTTTGGTCACATTGCTGTCTGTCAGCTGTTGAGTTTTTGTCACTCATTCCTGTTTTTTGTTTTCAGATTATTGTACAGCATTTTGTGATGCATCCCCAGAGTGAAGAAAAACTGACCTAGGACCAACGTTCTTCATTACTATCCTTTGCACTCACATAACACTGTTTTGTTCACTTCAGGTGTTTTTAACAATGTCATGTACAGTATACGTTTATACGAACAGTCATATTTTGGTGGGTTTGCAGTTGCTTTCTTTCCATTTTCAGGGATACCTTTCTCTAAAACCTCCTGAGGTCTTAACAGAAAATCTGTGTTTGTGCTGAGTTTAAATTATATGAAGGTGGACTCGTTCAAAATTTGGTGATTTTTAAAGAAAGGTTCGAAGGCCAGGTATCTTCCACGTTATAATTATGCATTGCATTGCTGTGTTGGCATATCACAAATAATACAAAATAATCAGAGGCTTATGGTTGTAACATGCCAAAAAAAAAAAAAAAAAACTCAGGAGGCTCAAGGGGTATAAATACTCTTGGAAGACGCTCTGACTGGTTAATGCCAGATAGAAAAGTGAAACTTTTTCATTGTATCTAAATTTAACCTACAAAATGACCACTTACACCACATCAGTAATATTAGATTAACAATATATTTTTTTTAAAAATGGAATATTATTAGTTAAGTGTTTATTCACTGCTGTTAACCACTTGCTTTAGTTTTCAATCCTGTAAAAATTTGAACAGCTTTTATGGTGACCAGCTTCACATTTTTAATCAGATTATTTTTTTTATTATAACTGTGAATTAACTTTACTGCATTAACTGATTTAAAAAATTTGCTTAAATAAATTTGACTTATAAGTACACAGATGTATTAAAAAAAATAAAATATGCATCAGCATGTCTTTGCATCATTTTTGTATCTGTATTGTACAATGTAAATTTCCAGTAGACGCCCTAACAGTTGTCATACCATCAGCAAAAAAAAAAGAGATATAATAGTATGTAACTTTATCTAGTAATAGTTGTGGCTCTAAAATTTGGACAACCAAAAAGAAAGTCAAAAAGTCACATATTTTGGAATTTTCAATTTATTTCCTTTTGATGTTATCAACTTTTATCAACAATAGCTCAACATTACGCTGTTATTGGTGATGCAGGGGGGACATCAACATTTGGTCCACGTGTATTTTTTTTTTTTTTTTAGTGTTCATAGTATTTAATAGACGTAGCTGGCAGTGTAAAGGGACTGCATAGCAGCCTGGCTGGCTGGGGTGGCAGGCTTGTACTCTCCTTTGGAGGCCAGGCCGTTGATCTAATGGGAACAGAGGAGAGGAGAGAAGGGCAAAGTCAAACAGTAGCATTAATGATCAGCCAAGTTGCATGCGCCACCTGAGTGCAAGGCCTAACGGACGGAAAGATTTTGAGAAATCAATCATTCACGAAACTGTGTAAAATTGAGTAATTCCAGATAAGAAATATTTAAAGTCCAGAATGGCTAATTGATGACTGGGAACTCATCAAAGGCTTCCTGTGTGTCTGAGGCTCACCTTCGCCCTGGTGAAGAAAGCCTCCTGCGCAGCTTTCTTGTTGGCGTCTTTGCCCACCCAGGCTGCAAGAGCGGAGGCCTGGAGTGCTCGGCCGTAAGAGAAGGTCAGTTTCCAGGGGCGGTGGAGGGGAACTTGGTTGATGGCGTTCAGGTTGAGGGAGGCCTCCTCCTCACTCTGGCCTCCAGAAAGGAAGCAGATGCCTGGAAAGGTTGCAGAAAAGAAGCACAATTTGCAGTTAAAATGTTAAAGTAAGGTTTTATTTAAATGTTACAAACAGTTAATATTTTTTCCAGGAGAAGGCAACTTTCCTGTTGTTTTACTTTCATCAGTTGTTTTCTATGAGAAAGTCCTTGGTGGTGCACCTAATTCTGTCTACCTACAAGGTGAAAATAGTTTTCTTCTCTATAAATAAAAATGTAATCTAAACCTAACAACTAGTTTAAACTAATCTGGACTTAGACTAAATGAGAGAGGGAGAGAGAGAAAGAGAGAGAGAGAGAGAGAGAGAGAGAGAGAGATCTGTTGCTTCTAACTTTTTACAAGAACCTCACTTCATGAATCCTAAAATATTCCTTTAACCTGATTCCTTGTGGTTGGAGGAATCAGCTGCAGAAGGCTTACCTGGCACAGCAGCGGGTACAGTGCGCCTCAGGGTGGTTACTGTTGCCAAGGCGACATCCTGGGGGGTGTATTTCTTAGTGCAGGAGTGTCCAGCGGTGACCATGTTGGGTTTCAGCAGAGTTCCTTCCAAGTACACATGGTGGTCATTCAGAGCCTTGTACACAGCAGCCAGGACCTGCAGATAAATACATACACATCAACATGAATGGGCATTGATGTCATGTAATTAATATATAGATGGTGTGCTTTATGTCACACTCGCCTTCTCTGTGACATACTGGCAGCGTTGCAGGTCGTGGTCACCATCAGGCAGGATCTCTGGCTCCACGATGGGCACCAGGCCATTCTGGAGAAGACAGGGTTAAAACTAATGACATCTAGGTTTGTCTGCTGTCCGTTACTGCAGCTAAAACTGCGACACAGACCTGCTGGCATATGCTGGCATATCTGGCAAGAACATTGGCGTTCTCTGCAATGGCGAGAGCTGATGGGCAGCCGCCTGAGATCTTGAGCACACACCTCCACTTGGCGAAGTCGCAGCCATCCTTCTTGTACTGGGCACACCGCTCCGACAGGCCATCAAGACCTAAAAAGGCACAAAACATCTCACTCTGAATCGTTTTTTTTTTTTGTTTGTTTTTTTTTAGAAATATGCAAACCAAAGTATATGTGTTAATGGTAGTTACCTTGGGTGGTGGTCTCTCCATCTGTTCCATTCAGACCAGCTGTGCCTTTGTCTACCTATGTCAATTAATCACACAATAGTAAGTAAAATCTAAAAAAAATTGCCAACACTCTTTTATTAACGGTCTCAGAAGTTTGCATGAAGATCTCTTCACCTTGATCCCAACGACAATCCCCTTCTCCTTGACGACCTGGGGGAAGAGTTTGCCGCTGTCTGACTTCTGGTAGAGCGTCTCGTGGAAGAAGATGACCCCGCCGATGCTGTTGGCAATGGAGGGGTCAGATGAGAAAAGGATCTCCCGGAAACAGCGGCGGTTCTCCTCCGTGTTCTCCACATTGATTTTCTGCAGCCTCTTCGCCATGGTGCCTTGAGGGAGGAGCGTAGATTTTCAGTCGCACATGACCAGCTTGCAGTCGCTCCCTGCGCCAGAACCTCAACCAAGACCGAGACCAACCTGTTGATTCGTCCGCAGCCAGGATTCCCTTTCCTGGAGCGACGATCCTCTGAGCAATGTCAGAGAGCTCCTTCTTCTGCTCCGGAGAGAGGGCTGGGAACTGATGGGTCATCCTTGGAGAACCATAGCGGATTATTAAAATCAACTTAAAATTTTACAGTGAGAGAGGAAAACACATTGCATTTTCACATCTTATGGCAAATGGCTGCTATTACACATCCTGCTTTTCTTGCACCACCTCTCCAGTTAAATATTTGGTCTGCATGATTGAACTTTGGCCTTCAAAACAGATACGTTATTCTGTTTAGCTATGCAACCTGAGTTCATAGTTCACTTTGCAACAGGTTGACCAACGTTTTTTTTCTGCAGAGCAATGACAGCAAAACAATGCACTACAGCTAAGATCTTGATAATATACATGCAATACAATAACTTCCGCCAAATGATATTTGCGCAAATACTTTTGCACTTGATTTCTTTTCGCCTACCACCGTGTCAGAATAAAAACATCAATGCAAATTCATATTTGAAAGGAAATTTAAACATTTCTGTTTATTAGCAGTTAACAACAAAGCACCTCTACCAGCCAATATGTGCAAAGTCGCATGCAGACCAAACCCACTTACTATGTAGCAGTGCTGCAGAAACTAGTCACGTTCTGAACAATCCTCACAAATTTCTCAATTGACCAAATAAAAACGAGTCTCACTTGAGTGTTTTGTCAAACTGCGTCGACAGCTGAAGTGACAGACGGCCTCCTTTTTCCTCCCTGGGCTGATCGCGATGGTGATGAAGAAGGCAGAAAGTGGGTGAAGAGTTGTATTTATTCCTGTTGAGGGCGGTGGGGGCGGGGGAGGTGCTCATGATGTGTCGGGGGGCGGGCCAGGGGGAGGCGGGTGTCACAATGGAGACGCAATTGGCCCCAGTCAAACCCAAAAAGGCGGGCTTCATGATGATGTTGATCCGCTTCTGTGGACTCCACAGTTCATCGCAGGGCCTGGGATTGAGTTTGGGTTAAAACATGAAAGAGAGCATTGTGTGAGTGTAAAGTCAAAGTCTGCATGAGCGAAGAAATCAGAGGAGGGAGAGCTCCTCCTTCTTTAGCTTTGCAGAAAATGTAACTGGAGACTAGCTCTGCTGCAATGTTGCAATTCAGGTTTTGGATCCCTTCTTCTGGGGGAATTGTAAACACAAGCAAAGATTTGTATCTTGTAGATGTTTTTTTTAAGGATTCTAAAAAGGACCTTTGTTAAAATAAAGATGAAGGACAATCAGCAGCTGCGTGTCGAATTTTGTTTTCATCACTGTACAGAAAACAGATCAGACATGCAGATCTCTTCTCACCATTGGAAATTCTATTTCCTTAAAGTCAATGCACAGATCGGTTTTAAATATTTGTTTATCATTACTATTTTCTTTTGCATGTTATATTTTCATTGGGTTGAAGTTTCACTTCAAATACGCAATCCATACTCAGAGGTAACTTTTTCTGCACACACAGAAAGTGTGCTTGTTGTCACATTCCGAGAAAAAACAGCTTTTTAAAACCTGTGTCTTCATGCAGTTTGCTGTATGCATCTTTTTGCACCACTACTTTTTTTAAAATTACTTTTTTATCTAATCCCAAAAGATGGGGACATTTGCACCCAGAGACTGAGATTGATGAGACAGCTTTTACACAACCTGGACTCCGCACCATGTGCAATGTCCTCTTTCTAATTGCAGCTCAGAGTTCAGCCTTTGTGCGTGATTTTATTTTCACATACTTTGTAGTTCTGAAAAGTCATCCAAAGAATCTTGCTTGTCCCAGAGGGTGTACATAAGATGGTAATTAAAACAGATTGCAGGGGACAATTGCTGGTTTGAATGTTTTGTTGTAAATCCTTTCTCTAGAGTGTCATTCAACTGGTGGGAAATCCTGAATATCCCTGTCAGCACTGAAAAACTACACATTTCTTGTGTTATGGCAAATATGTATAACGCATAATATGTACGTTAACTTGTACACATGACCAGAATAATGTTGTTTTCACCAGGGGAAACTATTAAAACTGCAGAGCAACAACATATCTTAAAAAAAATTGGAAAAAAGAAAAGATTCCAAATTATTTCAGGAATCCATGTCACTGAGGCTCAAAATGCCTTTAGTTATGTTATGTGGTCTGATGGTCTGATCTTGCTGAAGAATTCTGGACTTTGGTAGACTTTGAAACAAGCAAAGGCTTTAGATAAACTAGTGAGGTAGAGATTGTTATCTGAGTGTGTTTCAAAAACAGGACGATTTCGTCATGTATTGTGTCATGGGCCCTCTGAAACTGTTGGCACATAAGTTTTGGACACATGCTTGCTGACACAAAAGCAAATACAATGTGCAAAATATCTGCTTTGAGAAATAATCAGACATAAAATATTTATTTTAAGAAAATTGAAAACAATTTGCTAAATTTGAATGTTTTTAGTTAGACGTTCATTAAAAAAGATCATGCTGTGAAAATAGAAGCATCAGTGAGTTTGTTGTGCAAATGAGCAGACTGATGAGTTTTATATTCAACCTTGCTCAAGCTAAAACATAAATTGTTTAAT